TTATTATTGTTGTAACCTTCAATATGTCGTTTATTGATTGAATAAAGACCCATTATTATTATTATTATTATTATTATTATTATTATTATTATTATTATTTTGCTGATCCATTTTCGCAGGCTTACTCTGGGCTCCAGAGGTTCTATTTCGCTTCCTGTGTATGTAACGAGCTAGCGACGTCCCTTCAAAACAGCAAACGCCGGAACTAAAAATATATAACCTAGGGACCTCAGGGTATCGCAGGCTTCATGACCCCTCAGTTTTGTAGTGACGTCATTTCTACGTCACTATTTCAGATCAGCTGGAAACCACACCATGATTTACGATGACGTAGCTATGGCAACGAGAACATCAGACAATGTATGCATGTACTTGTACTGAGATTATACTTAGCCCAAAGGTTTATAGTTAATGTTGCTGTCTTATAAGTTATTCCAATGTTTAAAAAAGATAATACTTTCTTAATGGCTTAATGATTAATTATGCTCTTTGTACATTTTCTTTAGTTCTTTTTTAAAATATTTTTAAAGTCATATTTTTTTACCATGCTTGTCTGAGCTGTTGACCAATTTCAAACGCCTTTCAATCCCTTTTTAGATCTATCAATTAGCTCAGTTCCACGCCAACAAGTCGCAGAGGTATAAAGAGGTAACCTGTATGGAGCATTGAGGGCATGCACTACTGAGGCTGCATCACTGCAGTATGGAACCTGTTGGGCTAGTGTGCTTTGATTAACGGCATTAGAGACTGCATATACATATATGGCCTTAGACTAATTTCCTGTTAATTTCAATTTGTAAATAAGATAGCAACGAGATAATACATTATGCTTACCTCAAATATACAAAGTTATAGTCGATCAGGTCAATGTTTTATAGCCCCGCCATAGGCCTTAAGTCTCACAAAAAAATACTTTTTCGATAAATACCAGGACTTTACGAAGAGACGCTATTGGTAGGCAGCCTTTTAAGGTATGAATGACGTTACAATTCTTACAAGTCATGATTTTATGTTTGGATAGCAAATTCTTGGGTTGTCAGTCAAAATATTGATCAGTGGACATTTCCAAATCCTCGCCTCTCCCCTACCCTACCCTCTCCTCCACGTTTATTTGTTACCACAGGAAACCCAAATATTGTCCATTCTCGTACCCAGGGAATCTCGTACCCAGCCAGACTGCTAAGAAGGGTTATTAACATTTTGAACATTTTATTAGACATTTGATCTCCAATAGTCCGAATAGACCCTCTTGTACACGTCTGAGGCTGTAACTGCAAAGAAGAATCTCCAGGTACGTAAGCTAGAACAAATCAAAGAAAAGCTTATGCTTTTATTTTGCTTTAAAGGAAGAGATACCTAAATTGGTGAGGCATACATCGATGTATTCAGAGCCCTGTTTGATAAGTGTAAATGTGTGTTTTTGGCCCAAGCAAGGCTCATTTTAGTATCGACATTTGAAGAACATGAATTACGATGAAGACCATAAAAAAAGGAAATAGTTTAAAAGAAAAAAATTTGCTGTGCTGGGTCCATGTGCAAGTGATTCCTCATTCTATTTGTCTGTCCTCTTATTGATCATAGCTGTCAGCTAGTCAGATGGCGAAATTACGTTCTACTATTGTAAAATGTTATTGACCAACATGGCAACCACGTCTTTTGTCCTCTTGTTCTCATTAGAATCCAAGATTAATGCCACCAACATGATTCACCTTGTCCTATTTTATATATTTCATGACTCTTTATTTGTTTTTATTTATTTTTCATTATTGCGTAGTTCCAGAAAACATCCATACCCCTCCCACAGAGGAAATTGGAAATCCTTGTGGGGTAGGGGGGTCAGAGAAAGAACAAAATTGCAAAGTTTGTATGGAAGAAAATTGGTAGTTCCTGGGGGTAGGGGAGAGGGTTTTTAAACAAATTCCGTCCATGGTGGGGTATGGATATATAGAATTTATCAGACATTTTAGGATGGTCAATACAGGGGTTTTTTTTTTCAAATCTGCTGTATTTTGACGAGCCCGATAGGGTGGAATTACACTTGAACTACACATATATTTTTGTTTACTTTGATTTGTTTTTGTTTATTTACTCAGTGATGTTTGCTGAAGGATCCAGTATATGTTGTATTCTGACTGGTGCAAGTCAGGGCTTTGGAGCTGCCATTGCTGTTGACATTGCAAAACAAGCTGTAAAAACCAAGAATCCTATGACATTCATCCTTACAGCACGGTCCATAGAAGGCTTGGAAAAAACGAAAACAGCAGTTGAACAAATACATTCTTCCGCAAAAGGTTGGAATAATAATTAGTGGCTTAAATATTATTATCAAACTCATGAATAATTCATGAGGAAAACACAACAGAAATCACGACCGTGAAGAGTGTTGTAAATCTGATACAAAACAGTGTTCATTTGCATAAACTTTAAGTTGGATTTTCTTGGCCAAATTCACTTTAATTTTGAAAATTTTAGTGAAACACAAAGGAACTAACCTAGACATTTGATAAGTCATGTACAGTATTCGTGTCTGTGTTGTATCAGAGATACGATCACTCGGCTACGCCTCGTGGTTGTATATCTGATACAACACGACCACGAATAAAGCTTTCTCCAAATCCGACATTCTGAGTGATTTATTTAATAGACAATTCTAGCCTTTGACAATTTTTTTTTTTTTTTTTTTTTTGACTAATTTATATTTTAATGCCTGAGCAGTTCATTGTGTATCAGCTGATCTTGAAGATATTTCAACTATTTCTTCTTCTTTGAAGATCATCTTTGAAAAGGTAAACTACTAATAGATAGCTTATGGACTGTATGTGCTGAATAATACTGTCCCTATAAAATATTAACAGAATACTTGTGCTCTGCTATAATTTTTGACACCTAAATAAAGTTCACACCTATTCCAAAAATCAGTGTCTGTGATAAAAAAATCAATCTGAGGAACAAAATTTGTTTTGCGGGGAAACAATGGCTGTGTGCATTTCTAATGCCTTGCCTGAATGCGACCCAGGTTCAAGTCCTTCTGGGTTTGGTGTCATATATTTTTGTTTTCAAGTAGAATATTTCGTTGGTTCTCTCCTTTGTTTTCCTTCAGTTTTCCTTCCTCCACAAAAATCAATTTCTAAATGTGTAGTTCCAGAAATCATCCATACCCACCCCACAGAGGAATTTGGAATTTCTGAAGAGTAGGGGGGTCAGACAAAGAACAGAAATTACTGAGTTTGTATGAAAGAAAATTGGAATTTTCAGGGGGAGGAGGGTGTCTTAAAAAAATTCCTCCGTAAGGGGGGTATGGATAATTTTTGAAACTACACAATTCCAATTCAATCTTAGGAGACATCCTTGATAGGGTTAACCCATTAATATCTCATATATACTATAATGCGAATAGATTGGGTATTACATGCATCGTTTGATACGTCCTTAATACACTGTCTTATATTACTGTTAATTTTCAAGGTGAACCCTCCAGATTTCAGCACTGCCTTGCTTATAAACAATGCTGCCAAACTTGGAGATATATCAAAGAGAATCCAAGACTTTGAAGACCCCAAAGAGTTGCAGGATATGTTTAACCTCAATGTGACCTCACAATTTTTCTTAATGTAAGTTTGAAAATACTGCATAAATAGGGCTGGAGGGACAGGTGAAAAACACTTGGGGTTGAGGGTTGAAGTATGGTCCTTGACCCGGTTGTACGAAGCCTGGATAGCACTATCCAGCTGATAAATCGTTATCCAGTGGAAAAGTCGATGCTGTTAGCCAATAAATTTATCCGCGAGATAAGATTTGTCTATCGGATAGTGCTCTCCAGGCTTCAGGCAACTGGGCCCTTAAGTATAAAAAGTAGGGAGGGTCAAAGTGCACTTCAGGGAATTAAAGCATCAGCACAGGCAGTTGTTTCACTCCTCCCTTTCATGTTTTAGGTCAAATTTCATAAAAACTTTTGCTGATGTGAAAAGATATGTTGTGAATATTTCATCATTGTTTGCCATACAAGAAGCTGCAGGATTTTCATTATACTGCACTTCAAAAGCAGCAAGCGAGATGGCACACAAAGTGATGGCTGCAGAGGAGGTTAGAAAAAACGTGTTATTGCTATACACCCTGGCACAGCTCAATGAAGTCAAACTGACAGTTATGAGAAGGTGCCTTTAGCAGCCATTATAATAGACCTGCACTTCATAGAATATAATACTCCCTTCTCAACCCTTTTCCTCTTCTCATCCCTTCTCCACTTCTCTCTTTCCCCTCTTCCCACACTTCTCCACGTGTCCCCTTTCCACTCTTTTCCACTACTCCACTCCTTCACTTCTCCACTTCTCACCCTTTCCACTTCTCCACTTGTCCCCTTCTCACCCTTTTCCCCTTCTCTACTTCTCCCCTTCCCACTCTTTTCCACTAATCCACTACTCCACTTCTCACCCTTTTCCACTTCTCCACTTGTCCCCTTCTCACCCTTTTC